AACTCTTTCTCTAGCTCTGGTGCCTCAAACGACGCAGCGTGCGTCGTGCATGCCTGATCGGTTTTCCCTCCCATCTCGCATGATTGTTCTTTCCTAGCACGCAAAGTCGCGTGCTCTTCCAACTTTTCTGCCTCAGCCGTATAGCCTCTAAGGCCTTCACGTGCCCAGGTCATGTCGTGCGACCTTGGGCAAGGAAACATAGGAACAATTTTTTTGGTTTCTGTTGAAATGTGTGATCATCTCATCTAAAAGCTTAAATTGTTAGAGAGAGCACACTTTTATTTACTTAATTGCGTCTTCAGTACGCCTCCTCACGTACGAGCTTGAATTTTTTTGATGAGCCAAGCACATGGAAATTCTTTTTGATGGGTGGCGGTAAGACTCGAACTCAGGAACTCTGCCTGCTCCCATACCATGTTAAATGGACCTTGGACCTAACTCAACCCTAAAAGCTAAGCATCTAATTTTATATGGTATCAGAGCAGGACCCATCCTAATTCTCGTTTCCTGATGTTGGGCCCCTATGTTAAATTGTCCACGCTTTAGATGTCCAATCCTTGGCGTGAGGGGGTATGAGGAGTCCCATGTTGGTCCTTTAAGAAATCAGTGGTCTCCTTAATATCACTTGAGCAATCCTCACCTCATGAGCTAGCTTTTCGGGTTGAGTTACGCCAAAGGTCCATTTATCATGGTATTAGAGCCAGGCCTATCACAATTTATTGTTACTATTGTTGGGTCCCCATTTATGTTGTCCATGCACCATTTTGCAAGCTTGGACGTGGCGGGGGTTGTTGAGTCCCACATCAGTGGGGTGTGGATTTCCTGGGCTCCTTATTTGGTCTTGGATAATCTTCACTTTATGAGCTAGCTTTTTGGATTGAGTTAGGCCCAAGTTTCATTTATCATATTGAAGTGTGTGACCATTAAAAATCGAATCCGGGACCTCTGCCTGCTCTGATACCATGTTGAAATGTGTGACCATCTCATCTAAAGTCACTCATTTCAACATGGTATCAGAGCAGGTAGAGGTCCTGGATTCGAGTTTCACCGCCACCCAATATCAAAAAGAATTTTCGCATGCTTGGCTCATAAAAGAGAATCAATCCCGCACGTGAGAGGGCGTGTTGAAGACATAAAGTAAATAAATGTGTGCTCACTTTAACAACTTAAACTTTTAGATGAGATGGTTACACACTTCAACGGTTTCTTAGCCCCTTTGTTATTTTGGACCATTATGCTATACTCCAAATGCTTCCAACTTGCATCTTAGTTAAGTTTCGGTACTCCAATGACTCTGTTACCCTCGTGTGAGTCTGCACGTAATTTGATGCTAATTACTCTACTTTCTTAAGCGCGTCTTTAGCCTGAATTAACTAGAAAAATTAGTAGATGTTGAGGTTGCTCATTTCCGATCAAGAATTGCCATTTCACATAGGAAGTATGCTCTTGATATCATATTGAAGGACTATTGATACTCCGAAAGACCCAAATGTTAAGCTTCACCCAATTAAAGAGAGCCCCTTCGTCATCCTAGAAGATATAGGATGATGGTAGGCAAGTTAAATTATCCTATGTTGCTCGGAATCTTCAGTTTCGGTGCGGCAACCTATGTTGCTCGGGCTCTTCACTTTCGGTGTGACACCTATATCGACACTACGTGGGTGTGGATGTGAGTGTTGGATCCATACTGGATCTGGTCAACCGATTTTAGTTACTTTGATCAAAATTGACGGATAAATTCAGGACAAGTACAATAATTTTTTAAATCAAAACAAAAGTTATGGTGAAATTGAAGAAAATGGAATACCTTGTATATAGAAATTTCTATGTTAGTCATTTTTCTTTTATCTCCTTGGATTCTCTTCTTGATCAATATTTTTTCCTTCTCAGAAAACTTATAAATTTTTCACATAATGTCTCATAATTTGGATATATTTTTATAACTCTATTTTAGATATTTGAATTATTTTTAGCTGAATCCCCGCACTCGTATCCGTACCTGGATCTATACCGTTGAATCTTAAAATTTAGTTATAAAGGATCCGACCTCTAGATCCACACCTATATCGGACACTCGAACCCAAGTCCGAGCAACTTAGAAACTATCTCATTGTGACTCGATTTGACATTCCTTTCCCGGTAAGTGTTGTATGTCTGTCCTTGGATTCTACTTGTGATAGTCATTGGAATATAGTTATTCGTTTCCGTCAATACATAACATCTACTCTAAGTAAAGGGCTAATTTACAAAAATCAAGGACATAAAGCAAATTGTTGGATATATAGATGAAGATTAGGCATGTTTCCCGCCAAAAGACTATCCATCTCTGGATACTTATTCTTGTTTGGGAAATTTGGTTTCTTGCAAAAGCAAGAACAAAATGTAGTTGCAAGATTCAGTGCAGCAGTAGAATATCAAGTTGTGACTGTGGCTGCTTGTCAACTCATATGATCAAGCAACTACCGAAAGATTGGTCAAATGGAACTTGTGTTTGATAATCAGTCTGCACTTCACATCGCATCAAATCTAGTGTTTTATAGTAGGACCAAGATATAGAAATCAATTGTCATTTCGTCATAGAAAAGATATTCTCATGAGACATCATTACAAAGTTCGTGAATTCAAATAATCAACTTTTAGATAAATTCACCAAGTCTCTTGCCCGTCACAGAACAAGCTATATATGTAGCTACTTGGTACATAAGATTTGTATGCATCAGCTTGAATGGGGGTGTTACGATCTTGTAAGTATTGTGCATATCATCTAAGTTGCTCCGACACGGCAGTTCAGGTTCCGCACCCATGTCGACACGACACTAGTATGGGTGTGGGTATGGGATCCGTACCGGATCTGGTCAAACAATTTCGAGTACTTTGACCATGACGGAAGGAAAAATGAGACGAGATACAATTTGATTCCCGAAATCAAAACCAAAACTAGGGTAAATTTGAAAAAAATAGCATACTTCATCTAGGAAATCAATCATTTACTTATCTACAATTTAAGAATAAAAAAGAAATCCACACTTTACAACCTATACATAAGTATTCCAGAAATTTCTCATAATTTATATATATATATATATATATATTTTGAATTAGTTTTAGCTGGATCCTCGCACCCGTATCTGTGCTAGGATCCGTCCCGAATCTTAGAATTTACATTTAAAAGGATCCAACCTCTGGATCCGAACCCGTGTCGGACATCCGAACCCGTGTCCGAGCAACTTAGCATATCATTTAGGATCAATTTGAGTGATTCATTTCCTTTAACCATGAATTAGATTTGATTGCCTTTCCTTTCTTAGGACATGTGCTGTACTATTTAACCCCAATTAGTTGAGGGAATAACATACAGTGAATCTCTCGCACAGTTTGGTGCAATTTTATCAATTTACGAAACTAAATTATTTGACTCAAAATTGTCTGATTCAACATAGATTATATCTTGGGATTGTAACAAAAATCACTAGGTGATTTCTTCTCATCTTCTTACTGAGAGTTATTCGGTACCTGTGCTGTGGGAGGTAGCAGGTCTAGTCGAGTTGCATACAAGCTGGTCCGAACGCTAGCGTNAATTAACCTTATACTCAGCCTAGTCCCATCACCAAAAACATTTCCATTATAATCATCAAACAAATGATAAGTAGACTTACATGCTCATGTGGAATCTCTTCAGGTGCTATGATGAGTGCTTTAACTCTTCTGTTTTCCGCTTGGTTATTATGGGGTCAATACAACACTTAAATATTCAGAACATGGGTGATGATCAGCATAAGATAAGCAAAAACTTTGTTGGCTCAAGAAGCAACTGAGAGAGAAAGAGTAGTAAAGTAAATACAAGTAGCAGTCTCAAGTCAAAGGAATCAAAGAAGAATTGCGGTTACTCTTTCAAAATCTCATCCTGAGACCTAAGTATGCCATTCACTTCGTCAAGAAAGATCGAGTAGCATAGAAGCCTGACTTCAAGCTTAGGTGAGGCTAATTGCAAACAAGGTTCTAGCACAAATTCTATGTAATCTAAGAATCTGATTTCAATTGATTTTCGAAATAAGATCTATGTAGTGGAAGCAAATAGATTTATAACCTGATGGACCATATTCTGTGCAATACAACTACCTGATTTGCTGATGAGGACATCCCTTCCATTCTGGAAAGCTTTATATCTATAATAATTTGTAAAGGCTCATTTGTCGACTACTTAATTAGTGAAAGGTAATTATGTAACTGGTTAAGCATATATTTTTTATTAATAATAAAAACTATTATATTTACAGGCTGCAGCAAGAAGGTGCTGTATAGTTGCTTTACAAAAGATTCTTTTGTAGGAAATCTTGAAAAGGCAAAAGTCCTCTATTCCGTTTGTCTCTCCCTGTTTACACAAATGGTAGAGTGCTTTTAGACACTAATTTTCACAGATGAGGTCCTTTTTCCCTTCAAACTCCTTCTGTGGCGCTCCAGCAAAGGGACCCCCTCTCCCGAAAAAAAGAGGAGAAAATTGTTTCTGAGTTTTCGATGATGTCATTCATTTTGCTGTCGCGTTTTGGTTATATTCAGACAAGAGACCATTGTGGCAAGTTTAGAGCATATAACCTGTGCACTCTAGTTTAAAGGAGTGTTAGAATTTCTCTAGGTTCAACAAGCAACTACTGTATTATTGTAAGGCAGCTAGGAAACTACTTTTTTGATAAGGTAATATAATTTATTGATGATGGATAGATATCTCCATAAAAGTGGTAAATTCCTGAGATTTATTTACCTTTTCTATCTGTTGTCAACTAACTTAGAGTTCTTAGTTAATTCTCAAAGATAAATAAATAATAATAAATAAATAAATAAATTAAAGATCTTTGTATTCATAGTTGGCAGAGGGATTCATTGACTTTGCTCCAATTTATATTTTTGTCTGTTTTGGCGCATTTTAGATAGCTTTCTGTCCTCTTAGACTATTTTCATTGAGCTGCTATTGATGTCCTTTTGTTGGTTCTTCTCTTTTGTAGTCTTCATTGGAGCTTGGTTATAATTTGCATACCAGATAAAGAAGACCAACTGGGGCCAATTTTGCTTCACTTGGATTCATTAGGGCTCCACTGCAGCAAGTCCCTTTTTGGTACCATAAGAAAGTAAGCTGAACTGTGTTCGTGGCTCTAAAATAATGGGACATCCATGCTACATGATTTACTTCTTGTAAATTGTAGTCTATTATAGTTAATGACTGCAGCTAAATCTTGTTTCTGATTTTCCTTAACTATTTCTTAGTCATGATTATATTGCATATGCCCTATGTTGCTCGGACTCGGGTGCGGTATCCTATACAGGTGCCGATCTAGAGGTCGGATTCTTCATCACATAAATTTTAGGATTTGAGTATATGGATCCAAGTGTGGATACGGGTGCCGGGATACGACCAATAAATGTATATTACGACATATAAAATATATATTTCAATTAGTTAAAGTTATTAAACTAAAACTAATAAAATTTTGTTCTTTATAAACACCTATATTTTATTCATAAGATATCTCGCGTAATAGAAAAGCATTATCATGCTCTCTCTCTCTCTCTCTCTCTCTCTCTATATATATATATATATATATATATATATATAACATAAACCCAATAATCAAACCATATATCTGATCAATCTATACTTCTCGGTCATATAATATAGTCAAAGTACCCAAGATAAGTTGACCAAATCCGGTGTGGATCCCACACCCACACCCATGTCGTGTCGACATGGGTCCGACAGTGATTTTGAAGATTTCTCGCAACATAGCATATGTCAGTACCATTTTGACTAATAATTTTTGAACGTTGGCATTATTTAAGCTATAACTTGGCCTATTCGAAGCTTCTTGTTCTATATTCGTCTTGTTTATAATATGCTTCGATATAGTAATAGATAATTTATTACAGCGTGAACTGTAACTGCCTGAGAACTAAAGGGGCATAAAATTTCATTAGCAATCTATTCCCTCTTTGTCGGCTTGTAGCTCAAATCTTAGTTTCCTTTTCTTTCACCTATATTCTTCAGCCTTGACAGGCTGTTATCTGGACCTTTTAGTTTACTTTGTTTACTGTATCGTAGTTGTGCTGGTCAGAAATGGGTACTTTATCAGGATGATCAACTTGCATGGGAAGTTAGTGACAGTTGGGGGTTATGTGGAAAAGATATCAACTCGAATGGCTATGTTCATGCTATTCACTTCTTGTTGGTGTGAGAAATTGGCAGGGATAAAAATCTGGTTCTTTCAGGGTTTCATACCTTGGATATCTATATATTGTTTGGATGTTTCGATTGAGGCTCTTTGGTCATTTTATTGTGTTATATGTCGCGGGCTCGTTTGGCAGCCCTTTAGGCAGCAAATTTGGGCGGAAAATATGCGGGTCGGTACATATAGCTTCATAATCTCAATATTACAATATTAGAGATTTACTCTATTATCACCATTTTGCTGTTCAAACTTGCAGTAAGATAGCATTTTAAACTGAAAGCTTCTTACACCTGGAGTTTCATTTTAACTCAAAGGAGATGTGGCTTTTGTCCCGCAGATTTTTGGAACAAGAATGGAAATTCTTAAGACAAGGAGAAGTGCTAACTCTTCCTTTTTCAGATAAAATATGGGAAAATCTTCCACGAAGAATAGATGAAAATGTCATTCCGGTATTCTTTCATTTGAATCTTATGCTCTTACATCTCTTTCTTGAAGCAGTCTCTGGAATTCTTTTCATACTAGAAGCTATCTTGTCCATTCAATATCTTGTGATATTGGGAGTTGGGGTTGGCATCATACAGGATATGAGCTTTTGTTATTGGAATTCGTTTCTCATGACCTGGGACACGGTTGGATGGTTGGACCTTCCTTTTAAGGAATCTATATGGCTAATAAAACTGACATGTGTTCTGTGTTACATCAGAGTTTCAGCAATGATATATGCAGATATCTTAGCTTTTCATACCTGACAAGAGGGGTTGCTCTGATGGTAAGCAACCTCCACTTCCAACCAAGAGGTTGTGAGTTCGAGTCACCCCAAGAGCAAGGTGGGGAGTTCTTGGAGGGAAGGATGCCGAGGGTCTATTGGAAACAGTCTATCTACCTCATGGTAGGGGTAAGGTTTGCGTACACACTACCCTCCCCAGACCCCACTAGTGGGATTATACTGGGTTGTTGTTGTTGTTGTGTTAGCTTTTCATACCCTGTAGTATTGTAGAATTACAAGGTTTTTGTTTCTCTAGTTCGTGGATAATTCTTTTCAGCTGTAAGTGTATATACCATTTTGCAGATTTTGTGTGAAAAAAAATGGTTTCTCTTGTGCCGTGAAAAAGACTAACGGCTGCGTTTGTTTTGATGATCTTTTTTTTATGGGTTTGGGTTATCTTAAAATTCCAAATTTTTTACTATACTGGCTTAGTTTCTTCCTCCTTTTCTTTTTCGTATTTTTCCTTGGCACCTAAAAAGGATATCCTAAAAAATCTTAGTCAACCAGGGGGAGGGGATCTAAAACATTTGCTCAATTCTGGATTTAACTTGAGAATTTTGTGAAATCTGTAGAAGCAAATTTGTGTACATATTTCGTGAATGTCTGCAAGTTCATGACAACTTCTTTCCTTGCACTTTTCTGGTAACAGGTCCCACAACAAAGAAATGAGTATGACTGCGGTCTCTTTGTTCTTTTCTTTATGGAGCGTTTCATGGAAGAAGTTCATGGAAGGCTTAAAAAGAAGGATTTCGTGATGGTAATAAGTTTTGTTTACTGCTAGCTTTCTCCAACTTTAGTTCTTGAATATTTGCTGCAGTCCTTAAATTGAAATATTCCTATTGTCAGTTTGGACGAAGGTGGTTCAAACCTGAAGAAGCATCTCGTTTGAGGATGAAAATCCACAACATACTCGAGGAAGAATTCAAGAATGCAAGTAAGGATTGATATTATTGGGATCCCTACTCTGCACAAGTAATTGCTCCTGTTTAAAGCATTTTCAGTAACAGATTTTTGGCATAGACAAGGAACTGTTAATTACCAAAGGTCATGAAATGCCTGCTTTGTATAGCTGCAAAGGTTAATACTGTCGTCGATTACATAATTAGAGATTCTGGAATTGCTATCTGTATTCTCTGTACATCGAGGTTTCTCACCAAAATCTGGGAAGGAGAACTATAGCCTTCCCTGTGGGGGGGAAGGTACATTGTGTAAAAATCATATTGAGCATCCACCATAAACAAGCAGAGAATTTAGAACTGATATTGATCTTCAGCTGGGAAGGAAAAATAAATTAGACTTCCCTTGGTAATAGATACATTGTACATAAATCATAATCGAACAGTTATGGCAGCTATTTCTGAACTTTGCCGGAGTCAAATGGTTCATGCCTTGAAATACACAGGATCTTTTGTGGTGTTGGTATAGGTAAGGATTGGAAAAAGCAAGGAATAGCTGGTGGTTTACAATTCCAGCTTGTATCTGGTGGGTGGTATGAAGAGAAAGGAACTAAAGATGTTTTAAAGAGAAGTAAAACCACTCGAGGATTTAGTTAGATTATCATGTTATTTCACTTTTGGTGTAGAATGTAATATGCAAATTAGGCAGAAACTGTAACAGATCTCATAGTCCCTTTAAGATAAGAAGAGGGCTATACTTTTGGTTTTTTGCTCATTTGTACAGAAATCCAGCACTTTGTGCTGTTTATTATACGCTTATTACCCTTTAAAAAAAAAAAAGAAATCATAATTGAACATCCACCATGGGAAAAAAAGCAGAAGATTTTGGAGAACTGATATTTGACCATCAGCTGAAGCGAGTGACCCCTAAAACCAGAAGCTGCAACAAAGTACATCTAATTAATGTAAGGTCTCTGGATCGCCAATTTTTTCCCTTCGGTGTATGGCAGTTTACTTCTACTAACTCAAAACAGTCTCACATGGTTCATGTAACTTTTGCATTGAACGAAACAGAAGAAAAAGAACGTCAAAGCTTAAGCTGAATGAATCAACAGATTCTTCACATTCTGTTGGATCATGCAGCAATTTTTACTGCTTTATTTCCTAGCTTGATATTTATTGAATGAGCCAATTCATTTGGGATATCCAGTCTTTTCCCAATTAAACAATCAGTTATGTGGTTGTGTTTTCACATCAGAAATTATTTGCAGATGAAAAAGATGGAGAGGGACTCCATACTTCCCATACAAATTCTCCCACATTCATATATAAAAGTTGATTTATCTGGATTATGCAAGAAAATCACCTTTTCTTTTATTTACTGCCAAGGATAGCTATAAACCAATAGTTTATTATCTCATAGATCTTTCATTTCCAGTACTCTATCCGAGAGGTATCAATATTCATCAATCTTGAGAGTTAGCACTTAGCAGTATTTATCTCCCTATCTAAGGGAACGGTACTGGATCAAATGATAAAAGACTCATAGAGAAGATGAGTGTTTTCCTCTGATGTAATAAATGAAAAAACTTAAGTAAAACAATAACTCCGAAATAAGCACATAAGATATGAGCAGTAGGCCCTATATATAAAATAATCAAGTCACTATATATACGCAGAACATGCTGGATTAAAACATTACTAGATTCCTATTAACATTTGACCAAAGGTACGAATTATTTGCAGTCCAAGAAGCTGAAAAGAATTATTTGTACATAAAAATTTTAAATAATGGTCCTAAACATATACAAGACAAAACCAATCTATTGTACATTATAATCCTTTTCGTCTTATCAAGCAAAAACAACCCTGAATTTCATTTTGTGCAGCTAATTCAGATGTGTCAATTGCTTCCAACATCAGAACCACCTCCTGCATCTCTGGTCTCCTTTTGGGGTTTGCATCCCAACATTTCTTCATTATATCATCCAGGGCACTTGGGCAAGAGTTTGGTATTTCAGGTCTTCGACCCTAAGAATTTGAAGAATTAAGTTAGTTATTGCTATTTTAGCTTCAACTGAGATATGGAAAAGTGAAAAAGAAATGTACCTTGTAGACATCTGGAGAAGTTTTAGAAAGGGGAATTTGTTCAGGATATGGCATTGAACAGCTGTATATTTCCCACAAGCAAATTCCAAAACTGTAGACATCACATTTATGATCATATGGGAGACAAGCAAGAACCTACATATAAAACAAAGGCAAGAAACGATGAGATTTCACTTGAAACATAGTCGGTAATACAGAATTCACTGATCTTTTTTCTCTTTGTTATTAAAACAAAAACATCGACCTATAGAAGCACTTTAAGTACGTCGTAAATATAAGGAGTGAGGGGTATACAATCTTCGAGTCACTCGTTGTATAGTACTATCTCCGATCTGTAGTATTTATCTTTTTAGCAATCTTAATTTAACTTCAAATATTTGACATTTTGAAAAACGAAAGAATTTTTTTTAAAAAAAAAATTCAATCTTACTCTGTCAATCAGTGGAATGTTAATTACGTGAGTCGTCTTATAAATGGCAGTTTGGACAAACACTTATACATTTAATTGCTACTATATTAAGTATCTTTCTTTAAGGACAATGAAAAACCCTTATAAAGACAAATTATAATAGTACGTAGTTATAGTTTGTTTATTATCTTTTGACTAACTTGACTGAATACGCACTAAGGAAAATATAGAGAATTAAAGATGCATATAATGACATACCTCAGGAGCCATGTATCCCATGGTGCCATTTTGGCCTGTTATTTCAATAGGACAAGAAGCCTCCACTCCCAAGTCTATTATTTTTACTCTTCCTTCCTTGTCAACAAGTAAATTCTCAGTCTTCACATCTCTATGAACTATTTTCTGTGAGTGAAGGTAACTCAACCTACATAGGGATAAAGAGAAAAAAAAATGTTACTATTTCAGAATAATTGGTCTGTACATGCACCAGTTTAAAATAAGTGTCTTAGAACATGAGATTTTTGGGAAGGAAGTTCATAAAGCTAAACAGATATGAAGATGAAAGTATATAATTATATATATGTATTACCCTTTTGCAACATCCAATGCTAGTTGAATGCAGAGGTAACTTCTTGATGTGTTTTTTAATGAGGTAGGATTTGAGAGTGCCTCCAGGAACATATTCTACCACAATGCAATATCCATCCTTCGTTGGACGCCGTTGGCCATTTGCTGATTTGAGTTTAATTTCGGGCACGCTCTCCCTCGAAGCTCCGATTAACTGAAGAAAAAGGGTTTGACATTTGTTAGGTGAAAATCAAAGAGAAAATCAATCATATACGTGAAGATGCGTGTTTAAGACACAATTAAGTAAATAATGTCGCGCTCTTCCTAACAGTTTAAGTTTTTAAGTGAGATAGTCGCACACTTCAACATGTTGAAACACATGAACTAGTTCTTATATAATTAAGTAAATATAAGCATGTTCGTTATGACATTTAAGTTTTTAAACGAGATGGTTACAAACTTCAATAAGTTGAAACACATGAACCGACTCTAAATTCGCCCCCAAATATACTAAATGAAAAATATTACTCGGAATAAATACAGATGAAGAAATATAGGAGGAAAAGAAGTTTGAATTACGTACCTTAGCAATATTTGGGTGATTTAGCTTGTACCATATAGAAACATCTTGCGTGAAAGCCTTCGTTACTGTAGCCCTTCTATCTTCATCTCCCAATCAAGTATTTTAACTGGAAGAGCGTAATATTAAAATGACAATAAAGTCAACCTAGCTAGAAAAGAACGTATAACGTACAAAAACAAAACTTCGGATTTTCTAGCTGAACATCAAGAGGACCCAAATGAAGACAAAGCTTTATTACACTTTGTTTGTCGGCTGCTCTTTCAATTTGGCTATGTAATGTCACATATTCTTTCTGAATTTAAGGAGGAAAAAATTATAAAAGAGAGAATGTTGCAGGAAAACTATTAGGGTTTTGGTATAGTCTGTAGATGAGCATTAGAGCTGTGAAGAATTAAATGGAATATTTTAGGGTTTGGTACATTCCCTTTAGGCTATAGAGCAAAGATGAAAGTGTCATAAAAACTAATCTATTGTTTATATAGATCCTAGTAGACGAGTTAAATGATGGTCTATTTCACAGCTTAAGCAAATAAAAACGTTCTTGGACTGGAATTATAATCCCTTTTCCCTGTTTTGCAGATGACATTATATTGTTCACCAGTGGTAACAGAAAATCATTGAAGAGGATCATGAGAGCTTTGGGAACTTATGAGGATGTTTCTGGGCAGAGAATAAACAAGCAAAAAAGTTCTATCATATTACATCCCAATGCAAGCTCAAGAAGGATAGACAGAGCTACTAGGTTGACTGGAATGAAGAAGGAAAACTTTCTTTTCAAATATCTTGAATGCCCCCTATATTTGGGAAGGAAGAGAATATCAACATACTCAGGCATGATTGAAAAAATTCTAGCAAGGACTAGAGGAAGGAATAATAAGTTCCTCTCAGCTGGAGGTAAAAGTATCCTTATCAAACATGTGTTTCAAGCCATGCCTTCTCATTTATTATCTGTTATGAATCTCTCCCTTACTGTTTTTTAGAACGATTGAGAATGAGCTTAATAGATTCTTCTGGAGTGATGCTGATGGTTCCAAAATGTACCATTGGTCATCATGGGATAATCTCTCTTACCCTTTTAGTGAAGGCGGGGCTAATTTTAGGAAACTCACTAATGTTAGCAAGACATTCACTGCCAAACAATGGTGGAGGTTTAGGACTATGGAATCTTTGTGGTCTCAATTCTTGAGAGCTAAATATGTCAGAAATCTCACTTGGTTAGAGTTAAATGGAGAAAGGGTCAATCCCACAATTGGAAAGCTATGTGTGATATTAAGACTCTAGGTCCTCTCCATAAGCTCCTCCCCTCCAACTTTACTCCTGGGAGAATATGCATCAAGGATGTTTTCAATCACTACAAGAAATCAACTTTATTGTGGCGACCAAAGTCGCTACAAAATCCCTAATAGTCACCGCTAAAAGGTATCAGTGGCGACTTTTGTATTACCACAAGCACAACCGTAACTGAAGGTTATTTGTGGCGACATCTAAAGTTGCCGCTAAAAGAATATATTTTGTGGCGACATAGTTGCCACAAAAGGTTGGAAAAAACGCTATAAAAAATTGTTCCATAAGAACAAATATTAGATGGGTCGCCACTGTATACACCTTTAGCAGCGACTAGCATCGCCACAATAATATTTATGTTCAGTGGCAACATTGTGTCTCCACTATAAATGTCTTTTAGTAGCGACAGGCGTGGCCACAAAATATTTAACCATAAAAGGCACAACGTTTTCTGTAGCGACTAAAGTCGCTGCAAAAGAAATAAACCTACAGTGACAACTTTTATATCGCAACAATTACTAATTTTTTGACAAAACTATGTCGCTACTAAAACTTATTTTCTCAGCAATTATAACGACCAAAATTATATACATTTCCATGCCTGTAGGAACCTAATTCTCTAAAATTTCATATAGAGATATTCATATCAATTGACTATCAATATTAAAGCAATCAATAGTGTTTGACAAACACCAAAAGAATTTCTCAAGCCGAATATTATAAATATTATCATTACTAAAAAGTCAATTACATATATACTACCCGACACTTCAATTGTGCATTGTAATTGTACGCATATACATATCCCAAAAAAGACAAAATATTAAGTGCCTTGTAACTGCTCCTTGCTCGACACCATCCTTGAACGATACCACTGTTTAAGTGCCTTGTCCCTGCTAGACAAAAGTAATATATATAAGGAATATAATGAGATTTGTTATATCCAAANCTCAAACAGTTATCTAACCATTATTTACTGCAACTAGAGACCACAAATGCAACTTAAAAGGCTGGACTACCAACCTAGAACAAAGCTAAACTAAGACAAGTGACATACCACAACTACTATCAAAATTCTAAGACTTTTCAATCTATGTCAAAGGAAAGCCAGAAGTTGCTTGTGACTTTGTGTACTAAAAAGCAGCTTAACAATTCCAAAAGTTGTCTGGACCAAAAAGCAAGATTTAGGACAACATAAGAAGCTGTTCTTTTGTCCATGCACTTTCCCCTAACACAGTAAATATTTTCTGCTTAATTAATTGACAATCAATTTAAAGAAAATTGAGAATCCATAGCATTTCCCAATATTATTCAAACATTCACTGAAACGAGGAAAAACATTCTTTTACTGCAACATACTATTGTTATTATACAATACTACTGCTAAGTATTGCTACTGAAATGAAGAGTGCCACACTTCTGCATCAAAATTTTGAAAAGCATTAAAGATTGCAAGATACATGATATGTTCATTTTAGCCAAAAGTTGTTTTGCCTGAAGAAAATCTGCAGAAACTTAAACTATTAAAAGAACATGACCTAGAAAATCTACTAATTTAGGCACATAACCATACAAGAACAAAATAAGAATGGAATGTCGACATGTAAAAGGTCTCTCAAGAAGAAGCTTTTAACTTACCCACAAAAAGAAATAGTTGAGATTCTGTCAAGACCGAGAATCGACAATAACAACACCAAATAGGCTTCAAACGATTCTTTCTGTGTGATTTTTTTTGTATTCCTGTAGATTATATCAAATGGCTGAGAGAAATTCGAGATGAAATCTGAAAATACAAATGTGAAATCGCTGAAACAATATCCGCTGAAATAATTTTTCTACTTTTATCTCTTTCATCAATTAATGATAAGCAAATAACACATTAAAAAAACTGAGGCTTTGTTGGCTTGTTGCAGTTTCATGAAAACATTGATATACCCTAAAATAAATGAGAATGCACAGTACAATTAATGATCTGTTTGAGGTATTGGATGAAAAAAGAACAGAACAAAAACGAATAGAAGCAATATCCCTAACTACATGTTGAAAATTTTGTCTTACAAAATCATTATAAAAAAACCCAAATGTAAATATATCTTACATAAATCAATATGGGTTTTCAGTTAGACATATGATAGTAACAAAATAAGAAGGTTTTTAGTTAGATTATGGAAGAGAAATCGTTCGTTCCATTGTACCTCCACGAAATCGATTACAGCAAAGCAAATTCTTTCCCCAAAGAAAAACGAAAAGATTAGGGATTTTAACATACCTGAAAAATGACATTCACATTTTGATTTGAGGGATTTCGATTTGGGTGAGATTTTAGCAGAAGAGTACTGATTTCTAGAGAGAGGACCCGAGTTTTGTGAGCTTTCGTTCTTCACTCTTCGATCTGTTCGAGAGTGTTTAATTAGGAGAGAGAGATCTATTTTTATTTTTTTTATTATTTTAAAAGTGAATAGGAGCCCAGCTGCAAGAAAATATGGATATTTATTATCTGTGGCGACTTTTAAAGTCGCTGCTAATAATATAACTGTTGTAGCAATAAGGTTGCTGCTAAATGTCGGCACTAATTATCCAATTTCTTGTAGTGAATGGACAAGTTTGGGATTGGGATGTTTGTGGGGGCATTAATGATTTTATGAAAGATCACATCCTCAAGATGCAGATTGATTTGAATAATGAAGAAGACATGCCTATTTGGACGGGGAGTACTTCAGGTCTTTTTTCAGTGGGGAATGCTTGGAACATAATGAGAAAAAATAGGAATGAAAATTATTTACTGGATAAGCTTTGGCATAAAACCCTGCCCTTTAAGATGTCATTCATCTCATGGAGGATTTTACTTAATAGAATCCCTAATGATGATATTGTCTCTAGATTTAGCAATACAGGTGTCACTATTGTAGGGCTCCTCAACCTGAATCGATTCATCATGTGTTTGTCAATGGTTACTTTGCCAAGTCAGTGTGGAAACACTTTGGAGAGTTCTTTGGTATCACCGGGCAATTTCACTCTGTTCAACATGCACTTACTTTCTAGTGGAATTTTGCTTCGTGCAATCCTGTTTCTGCTTTCTTGACAAAAATTATTCCTATAATTATTATTTGGGAACTTTGGAAAGCTAGGTGTTGTAGTAGATATGGTAATCAAACCTTTTCTTCCCAAATTACTTTTTCAAATCTCTCAAACTATTCTTATTATTGTTAGGCTTCATTTTTTAAACTTTAAATATGATCTTTCATGGATTGAACTAACCCATATTGTAGACAAGAAGATGTTTTATAAACTGTGCAGGGCCGTCTATTGGATCAAACCTGCAAGTAGATTTTTCAAACTAAACAGTGACGGGAGTCATAAAAATAGCATTTGTGGAGGAGGAGGAATAGTCAGAGACGCTCAAGAAAGAATGATCATGGCTTACTCTGTCCCCTTTGGAATAGGAACTAGCAACGAAGCCGAAGCCATGGCCTTGCTTTTTGGAATTCAGTGGTGCGTGCAACATGGTCATACTAGTTTGGAACCGGAAACTGACTCAATACTTCTCATGTATTGGATTAAGTATGTCTACAAAATCCCATGGAAGCTAGCTACCATAGTCAAAGAGATTAGAAGTGCCCTGGGAACCATTACTTGGACTATTTAACATTGCTATAGAGAAGCTAATCAAGTGGCGGACACCCTTGCTACAATGAGTCATACACAGCAAAATGAATTAATTTACTCTTCCTTTTACACCCTTGCTACGATTAACATGGACAAAGGAGGATTCCCTAATTTTAGGATTAGGGCCAAAACACTTTCTGAACTTACCTTGTTAGATGTGGTTTATCCTACATAGCTTTGTCTGCAATCTTAGGCTAATTAAGAATTATATTGAGAGTTACACTCTCAACAAAACAGTAGTGTCTTATGGCTGTTATTTTTGTGAAGACTCCAAGATATCTCTTGGATAGCTAAATGTATAGCAATGGGTCTGTCCATTGTCTTAGAATCTTTTGAAGAGGTTAGGCACTTTCTACCTCTTGTTCATGTATTTTCCTTTTGGTTATTAATCTACACGGTAGGGGTCATGCCTAACCCCCACCCGGAAGGTGGGTTTGAATTAAAAAAAATAAAAAATTAAGCTAAGTAATTTCTAGCCACAAATTTTCGGTACAAATTGTGTTGATTTGTTGCCAAATCTTGAAATCTATGGAAACCTAATCCTAATGAATATAAACTGAAATAATCAGAGGCAGGCCCTAGAAATTTTAAAAGAACAAAAGAGTATATATAGGGTTTATAGCACAGCAGAATTAACATGAGTATATAGGAAAAACGCCATAGAGTATATACTATGAATTGTAGAACTTGTGAATTTATAAATTAGCGTGCAATATATACTCATTTTAAGAAACCAAGAAAAACAAAATATAAGTATGCATTAAAGGTACCTGCGACGTAAACTCCTTTGTAAAATGATCCATATGCCCCTTGATCAATAAGACTCTTGACCTAAATTTTCTGGCACTCCAATTCCCATTCTTCTTTCGTGATGATTTGGACTTTCGATTCTTCACTTTCACAACTCTTATGATCGCTAAACACTCGATCTAAATGTCTCTGAAGCTGCTCGCCCATTCTTCTCAAATCAATATCTGCTCTAGTTCTTGTTTTCACCATCTTTGAACACAAAATGGTATAACCAAATACTTGTTTGGTTGAACAACAGAAAGAAGAAATCCTTTCTGGGGTACTTGTGATGTTATTTGGAGTTACGTTCTTTCTAAAAAGTATTTCGGGAGTAATGTTTTGTAAGATGGTCTGCTATATCTATTTTATAGGTATCGAAATCAATAATACAAATACAACAACAACAACAACAAAAACCCAGTATAATCCCAATAGTGGGGTCTGGGAAGGGTAGTGTGTACGCAAACCTTACCCCTACCCTGGGGTAGAGAGGCTGTTTCCGATAGACCCCCGGCTCCCTCCCTCCAAGAACTCCCCACCTTGCTCTTGGGGTGACTCGAACTCACAACCTCTTGGTTAGAAATGGAGGGTGCTCCCCACTAGAGCAACCCACTCTTGTCACAATATGAAAGTGAAAAAGATTGGGAAAAAGGAAACGTGTGGGAACATGGAAATTATAATTAAATGTTTGGTGTACTGATGTTCGGCCAAAATGCTATACTTTTAGTACATTACTCGCCCTATATTTTGTTGATTTAGTTATTAATTGTGCGATATTTGAGTTAAATTGTGTTGTTTTATGTAGGAGCATCAGAAGAAAGAGTCGAATGAAAATTGCATAAAAGAGGACAAAAATGCAAGAAAATAGCACAAAAGCATCAAGTACCCAAACCGTGCTACATATCAAGTAAAGCCAACTCTATAGCCTGCCTTACCGTGCTACAGACCAAGTAAAGCCAGCTCTATAGCCAGGCTGACCACGCTATACGCCTGGCTTCGCGAGGTCTATAGCCCGACAATTAAAAGTCGCAGGTTAAAAGACTCCAACCCGGATTTGGACTGAGGGATTTCGGCCCTAACATATAAATACTCCCCAAATAAGTTGAGAAAGGGCTGGACACTATTTTGGAGAAGAAAAGGCTACAGAGCTCGGTGAAGCAAGAATCAAACACCTCCGTTTATCTCTGTACTTTGTAGTTTAATGTCTTTGAATATCATGATGATTGTTGATACATTTATGAGTAGCTAAACTTTCTAATATCGGGTTTGATGGAACCTATTAGAGGATAATTTTCTGCTACGTTTAATATAGATTTGCCTTTGATTTTTCTCTACTTGTTCAACTACGTTTACATTGGGGTTGATTGAAGAGCTCTCAATCGACTGTGCCTATTTAGTGTGTATTGCTTGGAAAAGGGTACATATTTAGGTAGTTGTTGAAACCCATTACTCCTAATGTATGTGAGGAATCAATATGGAGGGTTTAAATGTGGGTTAGAAATAAAGAAACTATCACGACCCAAAATTTTCCTCCGTAGGATGTCGTGATGGCACCTAGTCTCTAAGACTAGGTAAGCCTAACACTTACTGAATTAATAAAAAAATTTGACCAACAATTGATAATCATGAAATGGAAACTTATTACACAACTTACAATTCTCAAAATCAGTAGTACAAGTCATAAGCTCTACTGAATTTACTAGAAAAATCTCTAAATACAACTGTTTGAAATGGAAGTTAAATAGTACAAATACAAAATCAGAGGGTGACTCTGAGGCCTTCGAACGCGACAGCAGGTTTACCTTGAGTCTTATGAGCTCGACCAGACAGTTAATAATCAACAACAATCGTGGCACATGGATCAACACAAAAATATGCAGAAGCGTAGTATGAGTACACCACAGCGGTACCCAGTAAGTATCAAAACTAACCTCGATGAAGTAGTGACGAGGCACAGTCAAGATACCTGCCGGACTAAATATCCTGAACAAGTGTGAAGGTGAACTACCAGAGAACCAATATTAATATAAAGCTAAGCAAGATAAGAAACACAAAACAATACTTGCAATGATACACTAATAACAACTATTTAACAGGAAACAGTCAAGTAGTAATACCGTAGAGTACGCTGGACACAGTCTAAGTCCAGTGAAACCAAATAAAGAAAACCCATCAACAACTCAATAGGAATAACCATTTTCACACCATATCTATTCGAGCATTTCCACGAGGTACCGAACCTCAAAATCACAGCTCACGGGTCCCAATTCTTGAACCCTAATCACTTAGCATCTTGTGCCCACATTACAATTCATAACTGCACGGATGACTCTCGTGCCAAGAGAACAACTCTCATACAGAAGGCAAATAGACGAGAGTACATGCAATGGTCAACAACGTCAGGATTCCTCTTCTTAAATCGATAGGGTGATTTAACTACATGTATGCTTGTGCAAGTGTGCTACCACAGTTCAAGTCAACCGATAAGAGTAGAGACAATGAATGGCACATAAGAAACGATCACCACAAAATGTACAGATTAATAAAAGTAGCAATGAAGTTGAAACAACGACTAGTACAACAAAATTAGCTACACAGAACCAAACAAATAATGCAACATAGAGGAGGACAATTAATACTATGCTAAGAAAACAACAATCTAAGACAAGTGCACAGAAAAAAGGGAAATGACAACAAAGTCCTCCCGAGGTACTGCCTCGTAGTCTCAAATCGTAAATGAATCAAAACGGCACGACAAAACCTCGTGCAAACAACAACAACCTCACGGCAGAAACCTCGTGCAATAATAACGATCGCACGTCAGAAACCTCGTGCCACAATAACATCCACACGATAGAAACCTCGTGCCGCAATAACATACGCACAACAGAAACCTCATGTCACAATAACATCCGCACGGCATAAACCTCGTGCCACAATAACATCCGAACGGCAAGAACCTCGTGCCACAATAACATACGCATGACAAAAAGTGCG